TCATCCACCCCCGGGACCCTGCCACCGAGGAGCTTTTTGACCACCTCAGTGACCTCGTCCCCAGAGATTGTAGAGTCCAACCCAAAGTCCCCAGGCTCAGCTTCCTCAACAGAAGGCATGTTGGTGGGATTGAGGAGGTCTTCGAAGAATTCCGCCCACCGGCCCACAACGTCACGAGTTGAGGTCAGCAGCACACCATCCCCACTATAAACAGTGTTGGTGCTGCACTGCTTCCGCCTCCTGAGATGCCGGATGGTGGACCAGAATCGCCTCGAAGCCGTGCGGAAGTCTTTCTCCATGGCCAAGAATGAGAAAACCAAGAATAAGAACTGCCAATTGACACGGTCAAAAGCCTTTTCCGCATCCAAGCTCACCATTATTGCTATATGATTGTTTGTCTGTATATTCTGAATTATATGCAGTGAGTGTCTTATATTAACCTGAGTTTGTCGACCAGAGACAAACCCGGTTTGGCTCCCATCAATCAGATCTGAGACAAACGCGTTCAACCTATTGGACAAGATACAGTAGATGCATATAGCTTATAATCTTGGTTAAGAATTGATATAGGTCTGTATGAGCTGCATAATATTTTGTTTTTTCCTTCTTTTGGTAATACCGTTATAATCGATTCAGACCATGATGGAGGTGTTGTCATTTTCTCTAAAGTCTAATTTAAAGACTTTAATAATACAGGGGACAGTTCTTGTTCAAATATCTTATACCATTCACCTGGAAGACCATCTGTACCGGGTGTTTAATTATTTTTCAATTTTTTTATCGCCAGTTTCAGCTCTTTTCCAGTTATACTGTATGCTCAGTTAGGCTTTTATTCTGACATTCTCCAATTGTTGGCAAGTCTAATGAATTGAGAAATGTTTTAACATCTTCTATTCTGCTTTGTTCTTGTTGTGCATATAATGCTTTATAGTAGGTTTGAAAAGCTTTATCAATTCCTTCCAAACTGTTTTCTACTATTCCTGTCTGAGGATCAGTTATGGGACAAATTGACTGCATGATTTGTTTTTTATGAATTCTTCTTGCAAGTAGTTTTGTTGCTTTGGGCCCAACTTCATAAAATGATTGTTTTAGGAATTTATTTATTTTCTTCCTCTTTTTTATGTACTGTATATCCAAAATTTTCCTCCTTATCTCTTGGATTTGTGCTTTGGTATAATCGAGTCGATTTCTGATTTGCAAGTTCTCCAATTCTTTCAATTTAATCTCCAATTGGTTTAGTTCTCTTTCCTTCTCTTTCTTAATCACAGTACTTAGTGATATAAATTTTCCTTTTATAACCGCCTTCAATGTGTCCCATAAAATATTAGGATTGACTTCCCCGTTGCCATTTAGTTCTAGAAAGTTTTTTATTTCTGTCTTTATGTCTTTAATGACTTGTTTATTATTTAGCAAGCTTGTTTTTAGCCTCCAAATGTTTTTTTTTTTTTTTTTTTTGTTTTTTTGCTCTTGTATCCAAGTTTAATGTTAAATATACTGGCGAGTGGTCTGACAAGATTCTGGTACCGATTTCACAGCTTTTTAGTCTATGTCGATCATTCTTAAAAACCCAGAAAAGATCTATTCTTGAAAATACTGCGTGAGGGGGAGAGAAATAGGTAAAATCCTTTCCTGTTCGGTGCATTGCCTGCCAAGCGTCCAGTGAGCCAACATCGTCCATTCCCCTCTTTAGTAGTTTACTTTGTGGAGTATTTATTCTTTTGCTATTYGATGTATCATTTTTTTATTCAGAACAGTATTAAAGTCACCTGCACAAATTAAAATACCTTGTGACTGATGAAATAACTTTTAATACTTTTTTCAAAATTTCCCTCAATTTTCCCTTGAACCAGTATATACCTGCCTTCACTATCTCGTATTTGTTTTATAAGATCAAAATGCAAAGAGTTATGTATTAGCACCGCGACTCCTCTCTTATGAGCCGTCTTGAAAGAACTATAAAAAACGTTCCTGGGTCCAAATTTTTGTAGTTTCTCATGCTCTATTGGGGACAAATGAGTTTCTTGAAGAAGTAGGATCTGAATTTTCTCCTTTTTTATCTTAGACATTAAAGAAGAGCTTTCTTACATCCATTAGATTATAGTCCCTAAACTGGGCTCATCTCTCTCTTCTCTCCAGATGCTAGCACCAGCTCTTAGAAGACAGTAAATATTTTGGTTTTTGAGAATCAGACACCTGGAATTCCAATAGTAATGCACATAAATATGGGCATTTTGTTTCTCTAAATGAATGAATGAAACTTTATTTAGGAGGCAGACATCTGCACCAGTGCAAAAAGACCATGTTTGGTTGTCGTAGTTTTGAAGTCCACAGCTCCTTTTGCAAGAGCTTTGGATATTAGACAGATGCACAAAAAGCCCAATTTTGTTTGTAAGAGACTTGCATTCCTGTAGTGAATCTGGATTTAAGTCCCACCCCCAAATGCATCAGATAATAGTTTGTCATGAAGGTCAGATAGAAACCATGACTGTGACAAAACAGCGAATACTCTGTTCCCTCACATCCACATCTGTTTTGTCGTCATTCTCTGTAGAGTTTGTATCTGTGTGCTTTAATGATAAGAAATTAAATGACTGATTCTGTTTTACTTGTTTCTTCAAATGGCAATACAACTATAAAAAGTTGTAATTAATCCTTTTTATTCAGAACCCCTAAATTATAAGACTGTAATGGTCTGATTTATACACATTTATTTAACATGATATATCAGAGAGTTCTTCTGTCAGCTGCTGACTGCAGAAGGATCTGTCTAATTGGGTTTTAAGATCCTGAACTCAGACAGACTAAAGAAAATGTCTGAGCCAGTGTTTGCAATGAAAATCAGTTTTCACGTGAGGAATTTAATGTCCACTCAAACATTGTGAGATCTTTTCATATTTTCTTTTTACTGGGAATTTGTGAACTTTAAGCCTTTCATGGGTTTTCACGCTTTTGTTTTTCTCTCTTATCCCCAAGCTAAATAAGTAAGCAAATCCATATTTATTATAAAATAGAAACATAAATCAGGTTAAATTGAGACCATTAAGGTGTAGAAAGCAGATAACCCTGCATGCACTTTAATTTGCAAATGCACCAGCTCCACTTTAGTCTCATCATTTAGAAAAAAAAAGTTTTATTTCCTTGACACGGTGATAAGCTAGATATTTTAAACAAATATACTTCAGTCTACATCCTCATCTGCATTATGGCAGGTATAGCAGCTCAGTGTCTGGGCGTATGTCAGTGGCAGACACAAACTATTGGCAGTGCAGGGGTTTTGCATTGGATGTTGCTTGTACAAATACAAAGAAATCACAACCAAGTCTTTTTGTGTTTTTAGACAAACATATTAAATTGACAAATTGATTTGGAAGCAAATGCAAGAACTGTATATTTAAATAAATTTGGTCTTAAAATCAGGGATGTAAGACTGTAGATATACAGTATGTTCTGACCATGATGAGAACTCATACAAATGTAGTTAAGTTCAATTTTATTTGTTTAAATAGCATCTATTCACAACAACAGTAATCTCAAGACATTATACAAAGAAGTAACCAGTGCAAAACATTAATCCCATTAAAAACAATTCTTTTAATCTAATATTAATACAAGACTTTCAAAATCAGTATATAACATAATGTCAATTAGTAAATAGTTGTCTATCTAAAGGCCATCACAAAACTCTTCAGACAACTTATGCGGACTTTTCAAAACAATGGCGCACACACTGGTGTAAGTCGCATATGTTAGGTGTACGTTTGGAATAAGTCATCAACACACTGATATATGAAGGCATACATTCAATGTGTTGCTCATGGGTTTGACATAATTCACACATGTTACATGTAAGTTACTTACAAGTTGACACAAGTCAGAAACCAGATGGGAAATTATGTAGTGTACACAACGGCACAAGTTCTTTAAATGTTCTAGATGTTAAATGTGACATGTGGCCTCAAGGAAACCAGAACATTGTTGTTGTCCCCATACTGAGAAACACTGAGACGACAGTGGAACAGTGGAAAGAAACCTGGAAGAAACCTCCATCAGATTCAGGCTCACGATAAGCAGCCATCGGCCTTGACCAGCTGAAGTTTGAGAGAACAGGAAGGAAACACAAACGGTTGGATTGTTTCAGGTTTCACTTCTAAGGGAAGATAAACAGCAAACACAAATTTATAACAGCAATAAATACAAATACTGAGAATGCAGAGTAAAGACAGCAGAGTGAGAAAATGTAGTCAGTTTGTCCTCCAGCGTAACAATCCCTATAACTAAGGGATGGTTTAGGAAACCCAAGCCAACACCGTGCAGCTATAGGATTTAGGATAAAGAAGATTGATTATTATCATAAAGAAACTGGAATCTGTCAGATAAATATGATTTAAATCATTTTAGAGCCCTTCACAATATCAACTTCAAACCTCTGTAATAAAATATTGTGATCAATTGTATCAAATGCAGCACTGAGATCTAAAAGGACAAGAACGGACGCAAGTCCACTGTCTCAGGCCATGAGAATATCAGTAACTTTCACCAGTGCTGTTTCTGTGCTATGATGATCTCTAAACCCTGACTGAAACTCCTCATGTAGGTCATTTCTATCCAGATGTTTACACAATTGATTTGCAACCATTTTCTCAAGAATTTTTGAGGTGAACTGGAGATTGAATATAGGTTTATAATATATTTAATAAGTAAATTATTTCAACACTTTAAGTAAATAAGGCTTTTTTTTACAGCAACTTTAAAAGGTTGGCAGACACTMATTCACTAGAGATAGATTATTCAGATCCAAGTAGAGATGTTAATTAGGGGAAACGCCTCTGGGAACCATCTTTCTTTGCTTATTTTGTTTCAAACATGTACTCGAGCACATTAAAGCACCTGCAATAGGACAGCTGTAAGGATGGATATGAAGCGGTGACGAAGCAAAGAACAGTGAGTATGGAGCAGGTACTAAAAAAACCTGAGGCAGACAGCTTTTTTTCATACCCACAAAGCATACTCTAGGTAGAAAATGACCAAAGTACAGTGGCACAGTTCAACAAATTGAGGCCATTCTAACTCCTCTGTCCTGACAGAGATCAGCCAGGAGACGGCGGTGAACCCAGTGGATATTGTCAGCACTCTGCAGTCTCTACAAATGCTCAAATACTGGAAAGGAAAGCACTTGGTTCTAAAGAGACAGGTGAGAAACATGACCAGATTTTTTTTCTTCAAGCTTTTCCTTCCTTCTGCTTTGACCTCACTGGTAACTAAGGTTCTCTTTAATCCCAAAGGACCTCATCGATGACTGGAAGGCCAAGGAGACTAAGCGTGGTAACGGAAAGTCTATCGACCCCACAGCCTTAAAATGGACCCCACCTAAAGGGACATAGAGGAGCTTCCTTTACACCCCACTCCCCCCCACAAAAAAAAAACACATGCACAGACCCTCCCTCGTACGCTGGCATTGACCCTCAGTCTAAACCTTCCTAGCTGCAGCACTGTTATTAACAAAATTAATGAACAGATTTTTGTTTAGCTTGTTTGGTTTTTGGGTTCAAACAGTCGCTGAGTTCACTCAAGACCACTAAAACTAAAGCAGTTTCATCTCACTCATACATATGTTGCCTGACCTGGAGGTAATACTGTGTTTGAACTTTATTTAATATCAGGAGTGCATACCTAAAAGTGAATGGGTAATTTAATCATTTAAAGGTAGACAAATGCTGAGCATTTATATATAGATAATACAACCCAAACAAAAAATAAGTTTTGAAGAAAGTATTTAGTCTTTATTGTGCAACTTTTTGCTTCAAAAGACAATAACAAAATAATGTAAGTAAAACGCACTGTCTGTTTAGAATAAAAATGTAGTACTTATTTACTATTTTAGATTAACACATTTAGTTATTTTGACTTTACTGTTTAACACGTAGGGGTGTAAAATCAAATAATTTGTATCTGAAATAGTTTTTGTCCTTTCAGACCTGCAGACGTTCTAGCTTGTAATAATAGAGCTAGAATTCAAAGAAATGGTAACAGCACAATGTTGCTGCTCATAGTTTTCACATCATATATTACTAGAACGGTAATATAGGTACTATAAAAGTACAGTAATGGTGCGTTGTTCACTCACCTTTTCATAGACACATATTTAGCAAGGGGCGGCAGGCGCACCCGCTAATCCAATCTACAGCAGGCGTTTATCGAACCGAAGCTGCATTTTACTTTGTTGCCGAGACGATCGACACGGCACAGGTCTGCAATGATTGGCTCACACAAACATGTTGTGACAGACGCAAACCAGCTTCCTGTGATTAAACTGGACATTAAGAGTTTCTAAGAATAACAGGAGAAGTTGTTCTTTATCGTGCTTCACGTTTTATGTGATGTTTTTGTTGATGACCTTAAAACCTGGTGAAAAACAGTTTTATTTTAAAGCTTATGTCACATGAGTAACAAAGAGAGCTTTAAAAGATTTTCAACTCAAGAACTTCCCTGAGAGTTACAGGAAAGACTGATGGCTCAGTTCCCAAACGCATCTAGTGTGTTTTGTCAAGACTTTTTGAAGTAGGGTTTTGTGGAAAGGATAAAAACAGTTTTTATCTCGCCTGTTATAGATCGCTCTTCCAACAGAGTTTAGATCTGATTAGATTGAAGGAGCAAAGAGCTGACTCAAATGCAGCTAAGACCAAAGTGGATTGCTGCCATCTTAAAATGACTCCAATTTTCAAAAATTGCATAGCTCCTTAATGCTTACTTTTTAACTTATGACATTTTTTACATTGGAGCTGTATTTGGACAAGCTGTTGGCTTGTCAGTCCAGTCAGACGTAAACTCTTTTGTCCAAACTGAGTTTATTCAAAGATCTAACTATAACTTTACATGGACTGCTACTTCAAATAAGCCGAAATACCCCTAAAATCAAGTCTCAAAAACAGTATCTCTGCCTAAAGGAGTACAGTCATCAGTACATTTTTGCTTTTCCATCTGCACTGTGACCATTGCACATTGTTTTAAAGTGATCCCCAATTAGTTGTAAAATTAGATTTTATTTGATAAACTGTAAAATAAAGACTGTAAAAATACTGTAGGTTGTTCAGTTTTTATAATTTTTAAACTAAAAGTTTAAAAATATATTTTAACACGGACGGGGCCATTTTATTTACAGGCAAAGCGTTCTGGGTAAATTATGACGTGGATAGGTCCTCGGTGCGAGGCTGCTAGTGAGCTATATCCACCCTGAAGATAAGCTCTTTTAAATGAAACCAGAGAGCGTTGACAGAGAGGAGAAGGTAGAAATGACTCAGCCTGTAACTGAAAATATAGATGGAGGACAACAGAGCTGCTTCATGGAAGAAGCTTGTTAGCTTTAGCGTTAGCCCTGACGCTATCACCATATATATGTATTAGCTCAGCTCTGCAC